CAAATGTATTCCTTTGAGACAAGTATGACCAGCTATGTACATTCTCTTGTTTTAATTATATACAAATAGTCTTCATTTTGCAGCTGTATTGTTTAGCAACCATTTGCAGTTACAACAGTGATGAAAAAGTGACTTTACAACCAATCTTTGCACATACTACCTTCATAACTCTGTAAAGCAGAAGTAGTAAGATTTTAAGGACACTAATGATTTCTATTAGCAACCACTTCACTTAATGATCAAGTTGCTAGCCCCAACTGTATTCACTAAATGAGCACTTGCTCTACTCAATCTACTCTGTCGCAAGTAGGCTAAACTGAAAATAATTTAAAACTCTGCCTAAATGGGCTCTTAACACAGCACAAATAAAAACTGTCATATTTTCCATTCCCTAACCTATACACACATATGGAAAGAGTGGAATTTTATAGGTAGTTTATAGAGACCAATATTGTCAATAGTACCGATAAAGAAAGTTACTTCATAACAAGGGAAAGAAGATGGGGCAAAATCCTTTACAATTAAAACATAACCTTTGCTGAAAGGCTTGTAATTTTCTAGAAGATGCTACTTCAGCAGAACTGGTTTAAAATGCTTTCTTGGCTAGTCAAAAATTAAATGCTGCTGTTCATCATGCCCACTCACATGTTAAAGACCTCACATTTATAGGCCACAATAAGTTTGGCAAACTTACTAAAAAGACAGACAGTCAAATCCACTTGTGAGCGGAGCCAGCAAATACTGATTAAGTATTATTCACTCCTCGGATAAAACTAGCCCCATGGCACGTCACAACATGCGAACAGTTCTTATATAAAAGCAGTCATGGTCTCTATATAAGCCCTCTTTATGTTTGAAATAAAACTCAAATTACTTAACAAGCCAGCTTTCCTGACTCTGTAGGTGAAGACAAACAAGTATGGTCTAAAACAGTGTTTTAGACTATAATTGTTAGTCTTCACCTAAACCCCAACCTTTTGGGCACCAGGGACCAGTTCCATGGAGAAAGGTTTTACCATGAACCGGAGGAGGCGTGGTTTTGTGTGCTGCCTGCATCCCGCAAATGTGGCTTCACTTGTTTGCGTGGCCCGGTTTTGGATATGCCGCGGACCACTGCCAGTCCAATGGACCAGGGGTTGGGGACCCCTGTTCTAAAAGATATAGAAGGCATTAAATTAGAGAAGGCTGTGCTAAAGGTTTGCATGCAGTAAATGGATGGTGGGCAGTGATTCTTCAAACACTGCTGAATTGCAGGTATTCCCAGGATCCTGTACCTTCATGGTCAATGATAAGCCATGGTGGGAGGTGCTATAACAGATATTGAAAGAAATCATTTGCAGTGCTGCTTAACTGAAAAAACACTGGAAGTGGAACACTGTAACATTTACAACTTTTTCCAGATGGTTAGGTAGGTATAACTGTAGGTGGTTTATTAGAAGGCTTAAAACAAACAGTATCACAGTAAGAAAACAAAATGCACCTGGAAACAGGTGCTTTGTAATCAGTGTTTCCTAGTGCCAAGAGTATCAGGACAAGTGTCATCTTTGTGCAATAGAAACAATATAGTTTCTTCTCATTTAGAATTCCCTTGTGCTGCAGTAATTCAAAATATTGACTAGAGATTTGGCTGGTTTCTCAATATCTTATAAGATTCAATTTCAACTCTGCAAGAAAAATGCAAGGGTAGAATATACATTTATTCAACTGAATTGTTCAACCCTTGCCTTATTAATAAATGAAAAGACAAGACAATTCCATGATGCCACAGCCAGCCAGCCAATCGTTTATCTCCAGTTGACTTGAACTGCTACATGAAGAGGATAAAATACCCACCCTGGTGCTATCCATACAGCTTGAGTTGTATCTCCCAAGAGACCCTATACTGGCTAGTTATTGGGAGTACAACAATCCCCAATATACATAGAGGGCACCGGATTGGGAAAAGATCAGTGGTCAGCTGAATCTTTAAGAAAAAAAGGAAAGTTCTGAGCAAAACATGCCAAGGGTCCTTCTGTGGGATATGTTAGGACATATAGCATCACTGATTGCTGGTATGTCTGTAACATATAAAATGTTAAGTAGAAACTATCGATCCCTAAACAGGCTGGGATTGCTGGATTTAAAATCTGCCTGCTCCCTTGTGAAATTACCTCGTCCTAAAGATATTGGCTCTGCCCGTTGACACGTTTTGCAAATAGTTTGTTTGGTTTGGGCTTAGTATGTTCATGGAATTAAAGGGTTGGAAAGGGCCAGAGGCTGGTGAGTCTGACCTTTTTACTCAGGGCAAGGCATCCCAGAACAAAAGCATGCTCTCCACTGCTTCATCCAAATGATTAATTAATATCTGCCCCCATTTTATTTCTTTAACAATTGGCTCTGGATTGCAAATAAAATGACATCCCTCCCACCCCAGAAAAAGATATGAACTTGAGTTTGATGAGAAAACATTGATTAGGGTACTATTTAGTACTACCAGAAAACACCGGCTAGAGTACTATTTTTGAGACAACCCCCCCCCCTATCCAATTGATCATGTCATTCATCTCACTATCTTGCTAATTAGCAGGTCATGGAGTGTTTTGTTATATGTTTGGAGTCAAGGTATATTGTATTGACAACTTTCCCACAATTTATTAAGAACGCTATCCAATCAAAAAGTGCCTTTGTGGGGTACATTTTATTTTATTTATTAAACAAATTTATAAAGCTGTCCAACTCACACATGGTGACTCTCAGGTGGCTTACAACTTTTTTTAAAAAATTCACAATCTAAAACCCCTAAACCCCCTGCCTGGTGACAAAGAGATTTGGTGAAGACATAAAGTGAGGCTTATACTGTAACAGGAATTGAAATTGGATCTTTTTAACTCTATCCTAATATCCCAACCTCTGCACCATGCTTAGCTTTCAACACGTTCCAACTGCAATCTTATCATAACCAGCAGCCTATATGAATTTTCACAGAACAGTAGCCAGGCAGATAGTATGCAATTCTTGGCATTTACTAAATTTGGGTGCATCCAACTTTTATTGCTAACATCTCAGTCTACTTGCAAAGTCAAGTCTTCAGGGCTGTTCTGAGGATTATAAATGTTATTTGCAATAATGGCAAATAATATAAATTTTGTCTTATTTAAAAGAGACAATTGAGAAATGAAGCTCCTTGCCCACAGTCCCAGAATTTAAATTTCCCTTGAGATATAGTCTTTATAATGGGGAAGGGGGGACATAGTCCAATGATCGGTTTTTTTTTCTCTGCCTGGGTTCCTATGTTTCATCTTACCCCATAAAATTATTGCTCAGAGATAATTGTAAGGGAACTACTGGTGATTATATTTCAACTCTGCCTGTTAAAACAGCCCCAAACAATAACTCCATCTGAGTACCTGTCTAGCAGAACCGCATAAATATACCTTTTGCAAAACCACTTTGCAAAGTGAAAATTTAACACATACACAAATATTCCCTTTCGGATTATTTCTCCATCAGTCTTACAGCACTGCAGAAAAAGTTTACCTTTGCAGGAAAAATGTGTCCTAAATAGCTAAGAAGAATGCACTTGTTCAGAGTTAAATCTTTTTTTTAATTCCCTTTTGCATTTTATATACAATGGGGGTTATTATCAAATATTTCTAAGACACTTGCAACACAAAAGTTATGATCATTGTCTGCTTGTCCTAGGACTTGATATTCAAACAGAAATTGCCTCCTTTACCATACTTCAGGTTTTAGCTGTTGAGTGAGAAAGCAATTCCCTATGTACTAGAGCCTTATAAATTATAAGACCTGTCAGTTTGATTCTTAAAGAGACAGACAGATTTGGGGTCCAATCAGGACTATCTTTACCCTGGAATAAATTGCATCGCAACACTGCCTTGTGTTCAGATGTACAAGATTTGGAATGGGTTGCAGAACCTCATCTACAAACACCCTAAAGGTCTTTCCCAGAGTGCTCCATGTCTTCCTAGTTGACTACAAAACCTGGGATGGATTCATTTCGCCAACTGCTTTGATGCCTAGGAATACTGGTCAAGACCGCAGAATGGAGCTATAAGCCCCATACTAAAAGGGGTTAATTTACACGTCATTTTCAACAGAGCAGGAAGCATTTTCTCCGGTCATAGTGCCCCGCAGTTTTATTTAATTTGGGAAAAGCTTCTTCCATCCCTTCCTCCATAGATATATCTTTTATTCAGGTCCTGCCTGGCAAACTCCAGTCGGATCAGCCCCTTTTCTAACTGGGTGGATTGGGGGGGGGGGGGGGAGCGTCAGTCTTGATCTTCTTTTCAAACAAATCAGTAATTTACATCGCTCCTCTTGTCATTGCTCCCTTTGGGAGATAATTACATTAGCCATTGGGAACACATAGCCAGGGGAGGAGTAATTCTCCCAAATTAGGTTTTAGAAGGACATTACAAACAGGCGCCTTGTGTGCCAAAGGTGACCCTGATCATATTCACAAAGAACAGATAAAGGAACTTCAAAAGGCGCCGGGAAAAAGATAATAACATGCAATACAGAACGTCTCCCAGCCCTGGAAAATAATTCCTCCTCCTTAAAAGACTTTCAAGCCACTCCCGAAATGGGATCCTGAGCTACACAAGACAACGATGCGATCGTGCTCACCGTTATACAATCGGGGTGGGTGGGGTGGGTAAACCAGTCCCACAACACCGGAGTGGTTGCGTTTTGGAAAAACTCACCCGTTTATATTCGGTAAATACGGGGATGTTTCCGATATTAGCAACCCGCCTCCTTTTGCGGTCTTGCTGTACCCCTTGCATTCAAAGCCTCTCTTGACTCTTTGTACATTTCAAGTATCCAAGCAAGTTGCGCGCTCCTAAAAGACAGCCCTCTCCCTCCCCATCATGCCAGCAATACTGACTGATTCCCCCACCCAGCCGCCCTTCTCTCCTGCAAAACGGCCACTGCTTCTTTCATGCGCCCGTTCGTTCATTCATCCATGGAAATGCAGCCACCCGCTGCCGCCACCTCCTCACCTCCATCAGAGACGCCCCGCCGGCAGCCACGCACGCTCCATTCCCCCAGTCCGAGACAGCAACTCGGTCCTTCCCTCCGAGAGCTCTATGAACCAGAGGAGATAGAAGGGCTCCGCGAAGGCGACACAGCGCCTCCTAGTGCAGCTCCGCCAAAGTGACAGCCACGGAGTTCAAGGAACAGAACGGAGGAACAGAGCTGGAAGGGACCTTTTAGTTAGGTCATCTAGTCCACCCCCCACCCACCCCCGCGCGCTCCTCACAAGCAGGAAACCCTACATCATTTCTGACAGATGGAAGTCCAGTCTCTTCTTGGAAGCTTCCAATGGTGAAGCTCCCACAACTTCTGAAGGCAAAGGAGCAGCAGAAGCCTCCTGCAACTTGGCCCCCTCCCAAATGTGTTGGATTTCAACTTTTTTTTTTCTTAATGCTTCTGGAGATCCGGTTTGGTATAGTGATTAAGACAATAGACCAAAGACCATGATTTATAATCTTGCCTTAGGGCACAGAGTCAGCCTGCTGAACCTTGGGCCAGGCCCTCTCTCTTTCCCTCAGCCCTAGGAATTGAACAGTGGCAAGACATTTCTGAAAAACCTGGCCAAGAAAACTGCAGGAATGCAACAGGTAGTCACTGGAAGTCAACACTGAGTCAACTGCACAAACAAACAAATATGCTAGAGGTAGTCCTCAACTTATGACCACAATTGATCCCAAAATTTCTGTTACTAGATGAGACATTTAGTTTTGCCCTGTTCTACAACCTTCCTTGTCACATTAGTTTAGTGCAGGGGTTCCCAATCGGGGGTGCCAGATGATATTTCAGGGGGTGCGAAAACTTGTTTAGAAGTTATAGTGTATATGTACAATTATTTATTTTTGTAAGGGGTGCGAGAATATATCACAAGCGTTCTAGGGGTGCGGGGTATAGAAAAGGTTGGGGCCCCCTGGTTTAGTGAATCACTACAGTTGTTATTAACTTGGCTTGTCAGAAGATTGAGAAAAGGGATCACCCCTGGGATACTGCAACCATCATATGAGTCAGCCAAACTTCTGAATTTTGGTCACCTGACCATGGGAATGCTGCAATGGTCAAAAGTGTGAAAAATGATCATAAGTCACTTTTTTCAGTGTCATTGTAACTTCGAACAGTTGTAAGTTGAGGACTACCATGGCTGCATGGAGAAGGCATACCAAGTTTGGAAAAAATGGGATAGTATTACATAGTATTTAAAAATAAGCTCGCTTACAACTTTGAAGTAACCAAGATGGAAAGGAAGTCTATTTTTCTTGGTATAGGGTGTCCTGTAAGAATGGATATTGATTGGTTTGGATTCTAAAGGGAGCACTTACACGGTCCAGTCTGAAAGAAAAACAGCATTCACTTAAATGAGAATTAACAAATAGAATTCACTATGTTAACCATAACCTCTTCATGACTCTCCATCTACCCTCAATTTTTCACGCTCTTCCAAATCACTCCACTTTTTATGCCACCAAACATTCATTCAATGCTAGGCTTTTTAATAGCCAAAAAACAGGGAAGTACACCTTCTCAGTTGTAGCACCTGCCCTCTGGAATGACATCCTCCCCAACTCTCTTCCCAAGATTTGTGTGGCTCCCAACTTTATAACATTATGGACATTAATAAAAACTCTGTGGTTCTCTCAAGTCTTGAGATGGAACAGTTGTGGTTCACTTTTTAGTTCAGCTTAATTTTATTGTTGTTTTTTGGTTGCTCATGTTCTCTTTTACATGTATTATTTCTTTTATTTGTAAGTCTCAAAAGGGAATAAATGAATAAATATTCCCCAGACAGAAAACCCTGAACTTATTTTGAAAACAGTAATTCATCTCTATTGGCAGCCTATTCAGTTGCTCATTTTGATCAGATTATTATTAGGCACTTCTGTCCTTTTCTCAGACAAATATGTAGTATTTAATTTATAATTTCAATTGTTAATGGCTAATTTTAAGCTATTTTTTTCCTCTTAAGTAAAATAAAATACTTTTCAGATCCGGCTCAGCTCCTGGTGACTTTCACAGATATGTCCATAAATTTCCTTGCTTCAGTACAGAATCATTCTGCATTATTCTGGAATATTTTCCATCGCCTCCTCTGATGTTTTCTATCCCCACACAAATATTAATCCAACCCTGCTCCTTTTCTATATTCCCACAAAGTCAGTCGAGCACTGTGATCTATTGAGGACTTCTAAAAAAAAAAGATAGGGAAGTCACTCATCTAATGATGCTTCATAGATAGATTTATTTATGCCTCATATTTCTCCGTATAATTAAGTCAATGTAGGTTAACTTCCAGTTTCTCAATTACAGACCAGATTAAACTTTAGAAAATTTGCTTTGTTATATTCTACACATTACCTCCAACTAGTGAATTACCAGAAGCACAGTACCAAAAAGACATATCCTAATATCTAACTCTGGGTCAGTGGAGCCAAGAGGCAGGAGCTGTTAAATCCAAAGAAACATACCTAAGAGAAAATTTCAAAAGAATGTCATGCAGAAGTGAACAATTTTTTAATATTCTTATTCTATTAGTATCTTGTGAAGTCAAAACACATCAAGCCCAATTTCCCACCAGATCACAGTTTACCAGAGATCCCTGTTCCTAAAGTATTTTTTCTGCAAGCAACTCACAGGCTGATTAGAGCAATTGAACTAAGCTAAATATCATAGCAAAAGCAGATCAACCAAGCAAAACTAATAACTATGGCTCACTTGCTACCAGAATGCAAGTACTATTTCACTTTGAGCTATTTGTTTGCAATCCAAACCAACTATTAATACATACCCAATTCACAGTTCTCTGGGCAATATTTTAGAGTCATTATGCCCAAAGGATATTAGCTCTTAAACGACAGCTCTGAGAATGAACAATCACACACGTAATCCACCATATATATATATATAAATATCCACACTTGGTAATGACTTTTTAGGGTTGGCTTTCTCAAAAAATGTGCAAGTTCATTATAAAGATTTCAAAGGAACTAATTATACCTTAGCTTTTTCTTTTTTTTTTTTTTTAAAGATATAGCACCACAATTGCTAGCATGGACAAGTAATCCTGAAAATAATTATTCCGGTGACTCACAATTAATGGAGAATTAATTAGGCACATGCAACCTTGACCTTAAGTCTTTTCACTGATTAAGGATCCTGGCTTAGGGCAAATTAGTGATGTGAAAGAGTTTAAACCATCATTTGTGAAAATTAAAGTACAGTAGCTTTTCAAAGTATCATGCTTAATCTATTATGAACTCTGGCCTAATCTAGATGTGTTTGAGGATGGAATTTTTTTTTCCCAGTGAGATATCAAAGCATAGCACCCTGGCATACTTTCCACGGTTAGCATATTTTCCATTGTCACAACATTTTCCATTCCACTGATGTTATGTGCAGCTTAGATTAGCACCTTAAATCAATCAGTACAATATAATATACTGTATATGACAAATCAATACTGATTTGAATGATCCATGAAAATTAGATTTATCAGTAAACTGACATGAACAATGAAATCTCTCCTAATTTCTATGTGTTAATTCATGATAAAAAGGGGCTTAGTATACAATACCACTATAACCTATCACAGAACAATGAAGTGTCTGTATGCACATGTGTCATATGCAGGCAGAACTATAAATTATAGGGTGCCTGAGCCTGACTCCACCAAACTTCTTGTAGTATATAATATACATTTAAAGCAATATAAACACAAACAATGCAAAAAGCAAACATCCAGGAAAATAACAGAATTCTCACAAAACAATTGCAGGTAGTCTTTGACTTACAACAGTTCATTCAGCCACCATTCAAAGTTACAATAGCGCTTAAAAATGTAACTTAGGACCATTTTTCACAGCTACAACCTTTGCAGCCTCCCCATGAGCAACGGTGGTAAGGAAGGTCATAAACTGGGGCACAACTCATTTAACAAATATCTCACTTAACAACAAAAATGTTGGGCTTGATTGTGGTCGTAAGTCGAGGACTACCTGTATTGGAACAAAACCTGGGGGATAAGACAGGTTTTAATGGGTCATTTGAGTAAGTTCAGGATGGGGACTATAGGAATATCTGGGGAGATATCATTCTAGAGGTCAAAGCCACTTCCCGGGTCCCATCAGATGCCATTGTTTAACTGATGGGACCATGAATGTGACCCTGCCAGGTTGCATAGGATGGGCAGCTGCTCATATGGGAGACAAATGGTCCCTCAGGATTTCAGAAATCTGGACATCCAGTGGATAGCAGCAAAGAGAAACAACATTCCAATTCTTTACTGTTGTTTTCTGGCTTTCATCTATTTTCAGATATGATAGCCCAAGCACAATTATCCTACCTGCCTGAAGTCACTTCAGTTTTCTACATGGCCATGTCTTATGCATATCTTTTTAAAATAGTGTACACACGATGCGTACATATGGGAGAGGACTTACATTTGCAAAACATACACAATACTCTGCAGTGTATCCCCCTTGGAATCCCTGGCCAGGAGGATCCTTCAGCACTATTCTGCATATCACCGTCTTGAGGTTTTGCGCTTTATTTTCTTTGTTGAGTCAATTGCCTAAACTTTCTCCCAAGTTTTGTGCAAGAAAAGGTATCGTACCTTTAGGAATAATTTTAACTCTAATGAGTGAAATCCTTTAAAAAAACAGCATTTCCACCCAGATTTCAACAGATCAAACTACTTTAATGAAGAACAAAGAGGTGAGCTTAAAAGTTTTTTTTTTCAGAATCCCCATAGAAGCATATTCACCCTAATAAGTTGAACAAAAATGAAGAAATGGGTGAATTATACAAACGCAATAATAATTTGCTGCTCCTGAGTGCTAGAAATGGGAATCCCAGTCACTGACTAAATTCTTCTTTGCCACTACAGTACTTTCCCTTTACTCTAGGACTTCTCAAAGATTACAGTCAAGTTCTGAGATCACATTTCCAGTTCCTTTAACATCCTGGAATGTAATCCATCCAATTTCAGAAACATAAAGCAGTCAGGTGTTTCCTTACCAATTCTTCACCTCTTTTGATCTGCATTTTTCTTCTACCACCCCATG